TTTCCCTACCGGGTTAGTCCCCTCTGCTGTTTCTCTCTCCAATACCCCTCATCGATCGTATCGATTAGCGCATAGGGGTTTCGCCAGAAGCGGAAAGTACGCTAGTCCGACGTGGGACTGCACCGGGTCGTTGGGTGCACGACACCGGAGTCGTAAAATCAGTCCAGAAAGAGAACGCTGGATGACCCAACTGTGAAAACACCAGCCTCGAATATTTGACTGGAGATAAAGGAGCTTAGGCGCTCCGCTCAGGGCCGTACGGTGCGCGGATCCGTGCTCTCTGTCCGCGACGGTGTCACCGACCACGGTTTATTAACTTTCAGCGATAGCGAATCGAGAGTATGTCGGCGGTAACCAGCAGTGAATGAAGCGAGTTATAATTGCAAATTAATCTGCATCTTCTTCCGTTTCACTGCTCTCGTGGTTGAAGATACGAGTAGCGTACTTGGAGCGATAGGAATGGTGTCATCGTGGCATCAATCGGAGTCGTTGCTCGCCATTCGATAATTCCCGACTGCGCGGCGTATCTGCATTGTAGGCGGACTCGTGGCGAGAAATTAGCCGGATCGTGGATTCTCGCGATGCAGGAAACGAGGATCGTTTGCGGTACAATCTTGAGCCGACCTTCGTCGCGGGGTGCTGACCAGGAATAGATACTCGAAACCATTCGATAAATATCGGATTGCAGTTCGCCGATCGTCTTACCGTGAGAATTTTTTCATTCGACTTGCGTGCCTCCGTCACGAGTCGTTTTTCGCGTCGCTTTGATCGTCCTACGAATTCCGTGGCCAGAGTATACGACGGTGGGTGAGAAACGGACCAGCGGCGAACAGGCGGCCTCATCCGCCATCGTCCAGTCGTTCTTTTCTTCTTGTCTCACCTCTTTGCTATTGCACTTTACGCGTACCGCCCATAGGACCGGCGCGTATGCATACGAAGGCGTGCATGTAGGACACATCCGATTCGTGAAATTACAGGCTCTGATTCACGCTCACAAAAGCAGCGCGCGCGCCGGCTCGCTCGGTTCCGCACCATTTTCAGGTGGAGTCGTTAAAATGCTGTTCGATACGATCGACGTAACGTAACTCTCGCGATCTCGTAAATATACCATAGCCAGCAGCCGATATCGAAGTATCGCATCTCGAGCACGCGAGCGTAATTGTTTCTAATTATAACGACCTATCGGTGCGCTATCGCGAATGCTCTAGTAACCGTTCCACTATCGGGCCGATTCTCTCAATTGCCTCTCTCTCTCTCTCTTTCTCGAGGCTGGTCGTTCCTCTCCGCCCACCCCGTTAATTTACGGCTTTCCGGGAACGCGAGCGAATCTCGGCACGCTGGCGGAACGACTTTTAACGACATTCAACGCGTTCCGGTCTGCAGCGATGAATGAAGACACTTGTGCTCGCGATCAAAGAGAGCAGACAGGCGGCTAACGCGCAACGATTCAACCGCGTCGTCGCGTCGATGAACTCACGACCGTGCTTTTCAGCGGTCACGGTCCATGGGATCTTGGTCGGAGAGGTTATACCAGTTCGCTATGCCTACGCGGCGAGTAGGGAGCGGAGGCGGCAGGTTAGGTCGCTTCGCATTAATCTAGGAGCGTGGAGGCGGCAACAGGTGCTCGGGTCACGGTTCGATGCCCCAGCCTCGAGAACGTCTTCTTCCCCTTCCTTCTTTTTCCTCTTACGCGCTTCTTTTTTTCCTTCCTCCTCGTTACTTCCTACCTACGGCCGCTCCTCTCGTTTCGACACGCCGCCACTTTGTAGTCCAATCCTTCCTCTAGCTCGCCATAGCGTCTCGATGCACTCGACAGAGTTGATCCCGCGCGAGGTGATGGATCATTCTCGTGGTAAACAGTCGCGGAAGAGTAATCGGATTCAAAACGCGGGAGATCGGGACGGATTTTGTACAGGTGACCACGCGTTTGCTCGATATCCGATGTTCCTTGACACTAACTAGGCCAATCCTTCCTCTGGTTCGTCGTAACATCTCATAACACTCGTCAGAGTTAATCCCACGCGCGATGATAGATCATTCTCGCGGTAAACAATCGCGGAAGAGTAATCGGATTCAAAACGCGAGAGATCGGGACGGATTTTGTACAGGTGACCACGCGTTTGCTCGATATCCGATGTTCCTTGACACGAACTAGGCCAGTCCTTCCTCTGGCTCGTCGTAGCATCTCGATACACTCGTCAGAGTTGATCCCACGCGTGATGATAGGTTATTCTCGTGGTAAACAGTCGCGGAACAGTAACCGGATTTAAAACGCGAGAGATCGGAAAGGATTTTGTACAGGTGACCACGCGTTTGCTCGATATCCGATGTTCCTTGACACGAACTAGGCCAATTCTTCCTCTAACTCGCCATAGCGTCTCGATGCACTCGACAGGGTTGATCTCGCACGAGATGATGGATCATTCTCGCAATAAACAGTCCCGAAATAGTAACCCGATTTAAAATTTGACCCATATATCACGCCAGTTGCTCGAATTCCGATAATCTTTGGCAGGGATCAGGCTTCACGAAGTAGTTAATCTTTTTGAATAATCGAATCGTTCCTCTAGATTGCTATATCGTCGCGATGCACTCGACAGAATTGATCCCGTACGAAGTGACGGATGATTCTCACGGTAAATAGCCGCGAAAGAGTAACCGGATTTAAAATACGAGGGATGGGAACGAGTTTTGGACAGGTGTACGGCACACGAGTACACCTGTTGGTTACGCGTTTGCCCCACGTCCAATTTTCGTTGCCACGGACGGAGGCTTCACGATCCTCTCGCTAGATGTCCCGGGGTACCCGGAGCACCTGGCCAGACCGATGCATCCGCGATGCATCCCGCGTTTGCCGTGAGAACTTCTCAGGACGGAGGGTACAAAGGGTTCGTAGCGAAACGCGAATGTCTCTCGAGGCGAAAGGGTATCACCCGTGCCTTGATTAACCGGTTGGAACAAATTCGCCTAACAATCGGGACTAGCTCTCCCGGGCTTTTCTCGCTCACCTGCGTTGTCAATCTTCCTCGCAGCGCACCCTCTCGTTCTCCGTGGATTTTTAGCGGTTCTGGACGAAGCGGACGCTAGACGAAGCGACATTTCTCGGCGCGTTTGCTCGGGATCGATGGCTTGGTCCGATCGACGTTCACGATCAGACTAAATTTCTTTTGCCAGAATCCACGTTTTCATATATATTTGACGGTGTAATCTTCCATTCCATCGGGGTACAGTTAGGAATGTTGGTGTACTTGCCAACAGGGCAGAAAGGATGAAAAAATAAAAGTTGGAGCAAAAAAAAATGTTGCTCGGTGGGATCGGGGCCAGGAGTCGAGAACGATGAACCGCTGCCACGAACTCATCGAATATGTATTAGACATGACGATATAGCGTTAGAAGAGTAGTAATTATCTCTTTTGGGACGATCATCAACGGTACGGTCACCGGTCGCCGAGTACATCTACGTCGATGCACCGATCGGAATCCCCTCTGCATGTCAATTCGAGCGGCGCGGCGTTCCTGTTCGGTAAAGTCGTCAGGGTTCATCGAGATGCTTGCTGCGATCGTTCCGGGACGACAGAACGAGCTACTTAGGTATACAATGAAATTCGGATTACCGAGAGCCTCTTTGTACCTGTTCGCGTTTTCGAGTCTCCGGTTCGGCTGGTTCCGATTGGGCGAGAAACGCGTCGTTTACATTCCCGTGGAACTGGTCGAAATTTCAGGTAACCGAGCGGAGGGTACTCGTAATTTTTGTCTTGCTGAAAAACGACTACACGCGCGCAGGATGATTTCTCGAAGATTACGAGAATCCTCGGTCGTTATCGTAAAAAGAAGGAAGCGAAACGGTAAATCGGCGGTTGAATCGACGCGGCCGGTTATACGGGAACGAAATCGGTATCTTTCATCAGCGTCCTAGGTATTTACCGTTCACCTTTGTACTGTGACAATTGTTAATTCCTGAGTTTTTGCCAGAGAATCGAGTGGCGGCGAGATAAGTACGGTGAAGTCACTCGACGCAACGCGATATCGTTTATCCGGATAAGATAAACATTACTCGAATCGCGATCGCGGGCAGGATTAGCGATCTAGAGGAAAGTCACATATTTAGCGTGCACATCTGTTAGCGGCGGTGGCGCGTTTTGCCCGTCGAGTTTCACCGCGAACATAAACAAGAGGTAGAATATCGGCGACGTTAGGAATGATCGACGAAGAAAAAATGAGGTACGTTTGGCTTGGCGCCAGATCGCGAGAATTCTCACGCCACCGAGGGGCCCCGTGGCACTGGGATGGGATACGCGTCGCTCTCTTACTCGCGATCTTCCGTTTGGCCGGGCCGTTCGAAGAATTCCCCGCGAAACGGTAAACGCGAAGGAACAGCGCGCGCGCGCGCGAGAGAGAGAGAGAGAGAGAGAGAGGAAGAGAGGGTTACGATGCTGAATGAATATCGGAGAGCGGTTGTATCCGCGCGTGAAACGCGAATAATCCGTGTCCTGTTTGGCACACGCGTCGTTCGGTGCGCTTAATTCGCGATTCGCGGTATTTTCGCGGCGCGCCCCTGTCGTTACGTGACCTGCCCTACGAACCTGTTTGTAACGGCAGCTATTCTACGGCGGTGCACCGCGCGCGGTGTACGGCTCTCGCTGTCAAAAAGACAGAGGCCTCTCTCGTCTGGTCTCCGTCTATCGCCAAACCTGTCCCTTGGTCCCGTCTCTGTTCGCCTCTCGGTCGGTTGCACCCCGACCCCCGCCGACGCGTCGATTTCTCTGTTCAGCGAACGGAGAAAGCGAAGGATGAACGAGCTGCAATGGCGGGGCATGCGAGGAGTAGGTTCTGGAACCTCGAGGCTCGAGGTAGAGGCAGCTTGGGTGGGCGGCAGTTGTCCAGGCAGCCGCAGTCTGTGTCGAGGCGACGTGCTCTACACGA